ACTTACAACAGAACAGCAATGCATTTTATGGACGACCGTTTCGTGTACCTAGGAAAGGAAATAATTCTGACTTTGCTATGACAATCTGGCGCTTCTGAATCAGCTACTGTTTTGTTATTAGTTTAAGTATTTGCTATTGACTGTTCAAATGTGGAGTTTTGCGCATCGTGTGTGTGTGTGCGTGCGCGCATGTGTGTGTGTGAGAGAGAGAGAGAGAGAGACAGGGTCACATCACAGTGGATTCAGCTGTTTTAACCATGGCTTGTGTACTGCACACATACAAGCTTCATCACTGTGTCTGTCACGCGAATTTGTTCCCCTTTCAGGCTCTGTCTTTACATTTATTTTGAAAGATGAAGCTCACGATTATGGTAAGGGGCGTTACATTTCCAACGAGTGCTTGCGGTGTTCGGCCAATCACAATCCACTGGGTCAGCTGGCCAATCAGAGCAGACTGCGCTTGTCGGAAGGAGGGACTTTGTAGAAACTAAGCGTTTGAGAGGGGCGGGGCATAGAGGACCTACAATAATGTACAGTATTTGAAAAATAATGTGTTTTTTGAACAATAAAGCATGTCAACATATTCTGTTACTCCAAATACACAAAATAATGATCTTTAAAAAAGCATCATATGACCCCTTTAAACAACACAATAAAGTGCAAAATTCAGGTAAAACACCTGTAAAAAAAATCAATACAGAAAATACCTTCATTTTAATACAGTACAGTAGCATAGAATTAAACATTACATTTTGAAATAGACTGAAATTGTTTTCTTGTAAAGCATACATTTTTGTCACATTTATATGTGTTTTATAAGCACTTATAAACGGCCAATATGCTAGTAATATGCATGCTAGTTAATAGTGAGAATTGGTACTTTAAAATTGTACCCTTTTTTATTTACAACTTAAAAAAAATCATTTTATCGCGGTATATACACTTGATACAGAATTTAATAAACTTTGTGTTGTTAAAAGTACTACTGTTCATTGTTAGTTCGTGTTAGTGCAAGTCCATTAAATAATATTAACAGATTTTTTATTTTAATAATGTATTAGTAATTGCTGGTATTAACGTTAAGTAAGACTAATAAGTGCTTCAGAAGTATTTTTTATTATTAGTTATCTAATGTTAACAAATGGAACCCTATTGTAAAATGTTACCAATTTTTTTACTCAAATTGTAATACACACAATAGACAAACTGTATGAAATAAAGGTGTGCCGGCACACACTTTAATGCGGCACTGCAAAATGCTGATCTCAGTGTCTGAGTGAGGTATACTGATGAACAGATGAGGAAGGGAGATAACAGCCAATCCCAGCTCTGCACTGTTCTTATCTGCCCAATCAGGCGTGAGAGCACCACCTCTCTGACGTCAGCGCTTAAAAGAACATAATTCAGCATTACTTTACTGACTCTAGAGGCCTTTACTTAAAGCTACGCATTGTGACATAATCAATGACTGCTGACTGCAACAATCATAAAATAAATTTCAGCTGCAAATTTGTCTTACCTCTGATAGTTTTTGTCGAGAAGCGTTTGACAGACTGTGGGTGTGTGTAGGTGTGTGTTTTGGGCGGATTGCTTCCGTTGCCCGCTTCCCTTGTGTCCTCCGACTGTGGATCACAGCGTCCTGCCGGTAGTGTTGTGTAAACATGGTATGTGTGTGTGTGAGTGTGTGTAGACTGAGAGGGAACTTGTTGATACTGATCTGCATGTTTTGAATGAGGGCAGTGAGTCTACTGCGTGGGTGAACTTTTGCATGAACCTAGCATAAAACAAGCGCACATACTCGCACACAGACGCTGACACTCTTAAATACAATCTTGCCACACTAATTCCTGTACTTTGTAGTTTGAGCAATGCAAATGACACAAAGGATAAAATTATATAGGTGTCAGACACGCATATTGAAAGGATAAAAAAAAAAATGCTGCCAGGAAAATTTTGTGGTTATAAATTAGCACTGGGCAAAAGATCTAACAAAAATTGTATCTTAAAAATGTTCAGCTTTTTGACAGAGTTCACTATGTAATATATCTCAATTCAAATGTTTTTGAAAGAAGTCTTTTATTCTCACCGAGGCTGCATTTATTTGATCAAAAATAGAGTAAAAACTGAAATAATGTGAATAATATTACAATTTAAAAGAGATTTATAAGAAATAGATTTTTTTGTCATATTTTCTATATGAATATATTTGAAAATGTAATGGTTACACTTTATTGTAAGGTGCCCTTGTTACAGTGTAATTATACATATAGCATAAGTACTAAGTAAATTTATTAACTACATGTATTTACTATATGGTTAGGATTAGGGTTTGGCTTAGGGTTACTTGCATGTAATTATGCATAATTAATTGTTATTATCATAGTTAGTACATGTAACGTGTGTAACAAGGACACCTTAAAATAAAGTGTTACCAATGTAATTTATTCCTTTGATGTCAAAGCTGAATTTTCAGCATCATTACACCAGTCTTCTAATATACTGATTTGCTCTTTAAGGAACATTTAAACGATTTCTTAATATTTTGGCAGAACCACTGATACACTTCCATTCAAAGGTTTGGGGTAATAATTTATTTTTTCAAAATAAATGTGGACAAAGAAATTGATAGTGTTATTCAGCAAGGATGCAATAAATTGAACAAAATTGACAAAGACATTGACAGTATAATGTTACAGGAGATTTTTTATTTCAAATAAATGCTGTTCAAAAAATGCTGTTCTGTTTTATTCATAAAAGAATCCCCAAAGAAAGTCTTGTGAACATAAGAGAATTCTTTCAAAAATATAAAAAAATCATAATGATTCCAAAACTTTTGTACCGGTAGTGTATGTATATGTGTGTGTGTATATATATATATGTATATGTGTGTGTGTGTATATACAGTATATGTGTGTGTGTGTGTATACAGTGGGTACGGAAAGTATTCAGACCCCCTTACATTTTTCACTCTTTGTTATATTGCAGCCATTTGCTAAAATCATTTAAGTTAATTTTTTTTCCTCATTAATGTACACACAGCACCCCATATTGACAGAAAAACACAGAATTGTTGACATTTTTGCAGATTTATTAAAAAAGAAAAACTGAAATATCACATGGTCCTAAGTATTCAGACCCTTTGCTGTGAAACTCATATATTTAACTCAGGTGCTGTCCATTTCTTCTGATCATCCTTGAGATGGTTCTACACCTTCATTTGAGTCCAGCTGTGTTTGATTATACTGATTGGACTTGATTAGGAAAGCCACACACCTGTCTATATAAGACCTTACAGCTCACAGTGCATGTCAGAGCAAATGAGAATCATGAGGTCAAAGGAACTGCCTGAAGAGCTCAGAGACAGAATTGTGGCAAAGCACAGAAATTTTTTGAAATTGAGATTTATACATCATCCGAACGCTGAATAAATAAGCGTTTGATAGGATAGGACAATATTTGGCCGAGATACAACTATTTGAAAAACTGGAATCGGAGCATGCAAAAAAATCTAAATATTGAGAAAATCACATTTAAAGTTGTCCAAATGAAGATCTTAGCAATGTATATTACTAATCAAAAATTAAGTTTTGATATATTTATAGTAGAAAATTTGCTAAATATCTTTATGGAACATGATCTTTACTTAATAGCCTAATGATTTTTGGCATAAAAGAAAAATTGATAATTTTGACCCATACAATGTATTTTGGGCTATTTCTACAAATATACCTGTGCTACTTATGACCGCTTTTGTGCTCCAGGGTCACAAATGAGAATTTTCAGTTTTGGGTGAACTGTCCCTTTAAAACTACCAGCCATACTTAATTAGCAAACATAACTTATTTTAATTTCTTATTTTTTGTGTGCCTCTAGCCGATCTCGGCGTCAGCGGCTCATGTTCTGGGAGATATTTGCCGAGAGAGTGTTGGGTATGAAGCACTGCTTCCTGTGGTCAGACTGCTGCTCCATCACAACAGACTGCTGCCCTTTCTCACTTCTGTTGCTGCCCTGGAGCTGGAGAATACACAGTTCAGTATCACATTCGCACACAAACAGTTATATAGTTTTTGTTTGGTTTGGTTTGGTTTTGTTAATATGCATTTATGTATTGGTTTTTGTTATTATATGTTTTTTATTGATTTTTTATATGCGTATAGCTTTTGCTTTACTTATGTTTGTTTAGTTGTTTATTTGTTAATATGCATATCGTTTGTTTTTTTTTGGTTTTGTCAATATTTGTTTTGTGTTTAGTTTTCTTAATATGCATAGTTTTTTATTCTGTTAATAGGCCTATTTTGTTAATATTTTAGTTTTTTGTTTAGTTTATTTTTGTGTGCCTCTAGCCGATCTCGGCGTCAGCGGCTCATGTTCTGGGAGATATTTGCCGAGAGAGTGTTGGGTATGAAGCACTGCTTCCTGTGGTCAGACTGCTGCTCCATCACAACAGACTGCTGCCCTTTCTCACTTCTGTTGCTGCCCTGGAGCTGGAGAATACACAGTTCAGTATCACATTCGCACACAAACAGTTATATAGTTTTGGTTTGGTTTGGTTTGGTTTTGTTAATATGCATGTAGTTTTTGTTATTATATGTTTTTTATTGATTTTTTATATGCGTATAGCTTTTGCTTTACTTATGTTTGTTTAGTTGTTTATTTGTTAATATGCATATCGTTTGTTTTTTTTTGGTTTTGTCAATATTTGTTTTGTGTTTAGTTTTCTTAATATGCATAGTTTTTTATTCTGTTAATAAGACGGCCTATTTTGTTAATATTTTAGTTTTTTGTTTAGTTTTGTTTTGTTAGCAAACCCCCTCCCCAAAGTTTGTCTAGGTTAGAAACACAGAGTTTCTTTGTCTGTCCTCTGAAATGTTCTCCGTCTCCCTTTGCAGAGAGGCCAACACCATATTCAGAGGCAATTCTCTGGCCACCCGCTGCATAGATGACATGATGAAGATTGTGGGCAAAAGTTACTTGACTGTCACTCTCAAACCTGTTCTCAATGAGGTAAAACACACAAGATTTCTTAAGTTGATTTTTTTTCTTTCTTTTAATGTTAACTGAACATCTATATAAATGCATTGAAATCTGTGGCTCAGATTTGCTACAGTTGTTAACTCAGACCCACACTGTATAAAATTGTTTGCGTCTTCATTCTGCTTTTACAGATCTTTGAATCAAATAAAACCTGTGAGATTGATCCTGTCAAACTGAAAGAGGGCGATAATGTGGAAGTCAACAAGGTGAGATGATGATTGTTTTTTTGGTTGAATTTTGATGCATGATTATACATAATAAGTCAGTTGTTGAAAATTAAAACGGTGACTCTGGACAAAAAAAAAAAGCCACCAAAACTGAAAAATGTATGGGTTTAAAAATGTCCCTGTAATGACTTCCTCTGAGTGATAGCATCTGATATAGTTCTTAATTGCAGTTTTATGTCTACCTATATATAAGATGATTCATTTTACATATTTATATATATATATTATGTAAATACTTTTTAAGTTTTAAATATATGTAAAAAAAATAAATATTTATTTTTCAAACATCACAAACTCAAAGTGTAAGTAAAAATGTGTTATTACTTTTTCCTTGATGGTTACATTTGATCTTTTCTTGAAAATGCTGTAAAATTTCGGTAACACTTTTATGTATAATGCATTATAAATGGCTATTAAAGGGTATAATGCATTATAATTATTTATAATGTGCATTGTAATACATTAGATATTGTCGAAAATTATTATAACCGAATTTAAAAGTGTTATAATGTATTAACTGCGGTTACAGTTATTCATGAAAAATGCATAGTGTAACAATGAATTGTTAAGTGTTATGTATTAACTTCGGTTGCAATTATTCATGAGATTGTATAATGCTTTATAAGGTGCGTTACAAGGCATAATTAATGCATTAAAACTACTTTTATAATGAATTATTCATAAAGGCTATAAGTAAAGTGTTACCAAAATAAATTTTTCAAACCAAATAAAATCAACATGAATAGAAAGGTAGTACTTGTCTAGGAACTTAGCATACGAGTGTAAACAGCATTTCTCCGTGCCATATTGTGCTCATTATCGTTATAGCGATATCGTGCGACATTGTGTCCCAGCTCTCAATGTGCATGTGTTGTGTAGATTTATTATAAGAAATTTTTTGTCTTAAACTTGGGCTTCATTTTTAAATACCATGTTCCTTCTGTCATTTTGTTTCATTAGTTCTTAGATGAGATCTCCTCTAATGTAAGCAAGGAGTCCAGTGGAGTGGAGGACTCATTTGTACTGAAGGAGGGGTGAGTGAAAGACGCCACAGTTCTCAGATTAGTCAAAATAATTGATTAGTCCAGTTTTACACTTTGAGTTTTAGAGTAGCATCAAATGACTATAGTTCAGTTTGACTGACTTTTACCACATTGTTTCCAGGAAATCTAACAGCTAGATGTGTACATATGATTTTTAACAGAGAGGTACATAAGCGGGCCCAGGGCAGAAAGCGAATAGGAAAGAAGAACTTTAAGAAACGCTGGTTACGAGTGACCAATCAAGAGCTCTCCTATCACAAGCAGAAAGGTGAGTGATCCTGGCTGAGATGTGTTCTCCTGAACAGCAGTTTGGTCCATGATCCAAAGAGCTTTGTTTGTGAGCAGTCATCCAGTTCACACCTAAAATGTGGGTGTGCAGACAGTTGTTTTTGCTGGCGGTTTTTTCCTATGGTAATGGAGTTGAAATGACATGAAAAGCATCCCTGGATTCTTTTAGCTTGTCCTCAGTTTCACATTCTTGTTTGTGTAGCTCCTGTACATGTAGTGTGGCCGGCCAGTTCTGGATGTGAAAAGTTCTGTTTCCCCTTTTGATTTATGCAGTCGGCTTTATGTCATGGCTGTATACTTGTGTTCACTGATGTCGGTGGACTTTGTGTATTTAGCTATGTGTTTGAGTACTTTGTGTGTGTGTGTGTGTGTGTCTGCTTGTAATTTGTAACACTGTGTTGAAAAAGATGTTGAGCCTGTCAGTAGATTCTGGACATAAAAGGGAATTAGGTCTTAAAAATCTATAATAACAGGAAGGATATTCAATTTATATATTGATCCATTTGAATAATAAAGACATGTAGTTTTTCATTGAGGAGCACTGGTAAGAATAATACTTATTTTTATTCAAATATTTAAACTGCAATGAATGGCAATATTTACCTACAAACACACTACCACTAAAAAGTTAGTAAGATTTTATTTAAAAAATGTATTTAATACTTTTGTTCAGCAAGGACACATTAAATTGATCAAAAGTGACGGTAAAGAAACGAATAATATTTGTTTCACAAATTCTCTTCTTTTGAATTTTGAATTTATCAAAGAATCTTGAAAAAAATGGTTCAGTCATGGTTCTTCCCACAGAAATATTAAGCAGCACAAATGCTTTCAATTCTGATAATAATAAGAAATGTTTCTTGAGCATATTAGCATGCTGGAGCAAGAAAATTTAGCTTTGCCTTTATAACTGTAGTAATATTTCACAATATGTTTACAGTATTTTGATCAAATATATGCAGCCTTGGTTAGCATTAGAGACTTCTTTAAATAATTTTAAAAAGTCTCACTGAACATAAACGTTTGTACGGTAACTTCGATACAATTTACATGCATTTGCATTTTTCAGTTTTATACATTTCCACATTTTTGAGTGGAGTGATAATGAATTACTGTGACTGAATCGTTTTTTTTTTTTAACTGATTCACTGAAATGGGCAGTTTGAAAGAAATTATTTTCAGACATGAATCACACTTATCTGTATCAGTGCTTTTGTTATTGAGGTTTGAATAAGGACACTATTACAAATAGGGATGTTCATTTCGGTTATTTCTCCTAACCGACAACCGACGCTCGTTAACCGACAAGATTATTTAAAATTAGAATTGAATTAAATTAGAAAGGATAAGTGTCTGACCTGTTAAAAATAGCCTGCTAACATTTGTTTTTTTTTACATGAGCAAAAAGCAGCAAACAACAGAAGATGAGGATTCACATGAATCATGGTCATATCACATCTAGGGATGTAACGGTATGAAAATTTCTTATCACGATTATAGTGACCAAACTTATCACAGTTATCAGTATTATCACGGTATTGTTAAAATGTGCTGGAGATGTTAAAAAAGTACAGACACATAAATCACTAAACCAAGTTTTATATTTCAAAATCAAAAAACAACAAATAACATATAATAAACATATAAATAACAAAAAACAATAACATTACCAATGATGTTCGGATTTTAAATGACAACTTGACTGACAACAGTTTAATAGCATGTTGAAATATCTAAGGTAAATGTTCAAATAAAGCTTTGAAAAAGTTTAATAAAAAGGTAAACCTCACATTTCAGCCTTTAAATTAAGAAAAGATATAAGTCAAAATGATAATTGATTAATACATGATTATATGTATTTTATCTGCTCCATAAATAATTCTAGATAACTTATCTGAATTGTTTAAATGTGGAGAATCCACACAAGCTTGTTTTTCATCAACCGGTCAAAATTTACAGCAAGGCATGCAAATTCAGTCCGTTTTTGGCCAGACAGAAACTGCACACAGACTGAATGTAAATATAAGTCTCTGTAAATCCACTCGCTGACAGCAGGTGGCGCTTATGGAAAAGCAGAATTAGAGCTGTTTCCCGTAACCTCCGAGGACAAAGCAGCATTGCGATTAAGAACACTTCCTTTAGGTATTACATGGAGCGAAGATGAAAACAAATGCCATCGAATCATTTCTGAAGACAGTCAGAACCTTCAGAGGTACATTCATATAATTAATTCATTCATATATTAATTTGTATAATTCCCTTAGCACTCTTTTAAAACTGTTCTGCCCTGTTTTCACTCAAAACGAAACTACTCTGCTGCTGTGCGCATGTGAGACTGTTACTAAAAACTGTGCTTTATGCTGGACAGTGTTTATTTATCGCGAGTTGTTCAAATCGTGGTAATCTAATACGGTTTTAATGATAATTAAAAGATGAAACGGTACTACTAACTGTGGGGAATTTTATCATGATTTATCGTCAAACTGGTAATCGTTACATCCCTAATCACATCACGCACCTGCAGCGCTTCTGCGAGCAGAGAATATATATAGCCTAATGAATAAATAGGCCTAAATATATTTTTACTTAATTAATCAATTAAGAAAACTAAATACAAAAACTGTGCAACAAGTAGCCTAGTAGGCCTATGCAGAGTTTCGGTTCATTTTTGAGCTATTTTTCTTTAGGCCTATTTTACAAAAGCACAAAGATTTGTTTGTATTGTGAATGTACACAAATAAAAGCAAACCTTTTACAATTCCGATTATCTTTATGACTAAAAGGAGTAGCTAGTTTCTTCCACTGTTAGAAGGAAAAAATTCAAGTGATTGCGCCGGTGCCGCATGCGCGCACAGTTAAGCATTGCTACCTTGACAACAATGCAGCCTGTTCATTATCATAATAAAATACAGTCAGTCAAACATATGGGAAAAAAACACACTGCTCAGTTTAAATATGTAGTCAAATCTGTGCCGTTAAGCGTTATCACCATATCGCCGTGATGTTATGCAAAACATTTTGTTTTACATGAATATTGGAATGCCAGTGAAGTAGGCTACAAAATAAATATTTTTGCATTCAAATAGATTGCGAATACAGAAACATTTGTTAACACTTGTTCGGTTAACGGTTAACCGGTTAAAATGAGCATCCCTAATTACAAATATCTCTGTCAACACTGTCACACTTATAAGTCATGACATATGGAACAGGAACTATTCACAGTGTTGGTTAATTTTGTATCGCCAACAAACTGATAGAATTAAATACACTCCAGTATGCAGCAGTCAGCTTCACTGCATCCTAACTACGTAATTCCCACATTCCCTTAAAGTGAGCTGTCCTGTGAAACAAGAGCCATGTCAATTCCCACGGTGTAATGTGAATTTCAAGATCACCAAGTGCAAATCTGGATGTCCCCGCATGATACACCTTTACCGTTGTTGTAATAATAAACATCCCTCAACGTGATAATCTCAAAAGAAGACCGCATGGTAGCTTGACCTTCTTTTGCTTCCTGCTGGACTGTCAGCAAAGCTGGATTACTGTTGTTGTCTTTTCTACAGGAGAGCTGAACAAACTTACACTAATGAAAAGAAAGTAAGATACTGATACAAAGTTTGGAATAATTACGATTTTTTATTTTTTTTTATTTGATGAAATATGCTTAAAAGAACTGGTTTGAATAGATTTTTCACCATTTCACAAACATGCCCACAATCAGTTGATCTATGGCAGTCATTTGGCTCCACTGACAAAGGGAATATTTTGATCACAATTTTGTCCCGAAACTACAGCTAAGAGTTTTCTGCTGCTGTACTTTAAGAAGCTTAATATGACAAAGCCGAAGATTTTACAGTTAAATGTCAAACCACCAATCTTTAATCTTTGCCCTTTCATTTTAGGAAGCTAAAAACCATCTGTTTGTGGTGTTGTAGTGTATCATCGCCACATTGGAAAACTGCAAAAGCGGCTGTTAGAAACGAAGAAATTAGAAGATGTTAGTAAAAATATCTGCCAGTGGCACAGGGCAAAATATATCCCAAATGTTTAATACCTTGCCATTTTAATTCTCAGACAAATGGTGTAAGTAATAAAGTAAAAAATGTGTTTTTAAGAACGCTTCACTGCTGTACTGAACGTTTACTACATAATAAAATGCTAATGACTCACTTTTTCATTAAAATAATATTTTATTCAAGGAAAGATTCATCCAAAAACTATAATTCCATCATCATTCATGTTGTTGTTGAATTTATTCTCTACAGTATATTCTGTGGAAGACGAGACAAATCATATTTATTTATATAGCGCTTTATACAATACAAATTTAAAGCAGCTTCACATGAATAAACAGGAAAAATAACAGTGTTCACTTTTTACAATTAATTAAGAAACAAATGCAATATCCGCTGTAAAGCAGCTGTACAGAAGATAATAGCGTCTGTATTTAACTCTAATGTTGTTTCAATTCACTTCAATAACTGTCAATGTTTATTAGCTATACTTCAGCTATAAGCAGGTCTACAGAAGGCAATATTTAATATATATATAAGTCAGTCAGTGTCAGTTCAGTTACAATTACAGTCAATGTTGCAAAGTTAGTGTCATTATCCAGCTCAACAAAGTTGTTTCAGACCCTATGGACTTTAACTGTGCCTTATGTATAAACTAAGGTTAATAGTATGACACTCTATGAGTGTTGTGCAGTGATATAAACAGTAGCGCATATATATATACAGTATATATATACACGTTTGTGTGTGCGTGTGCGCGAATTTTTGTGACATTTAAGGACACAAATTTGTATTATGACATGGGTATTACAAGGAGAAGGTGACTTGAGGGCATTACCCCATGTCCCCATTTTTCAAAACACTTATAAATCATACAGAGTGAGTTTTTTTTTTGAGAAAGTAAAAATGCACAAAGTTTCCTGTAAGGGGTAGGTTTAGGTGTAGGGTTGGTGTAGGGCAATAGCACATACAGTTTATACAGTATAAAAACCATTACACCTATGGAATGTCCCCACAATTCACAAAAACAAACCTGTGTGTGTTTAGCATGGATGAAACTTGGTTTTGGCCAGTCAGCATCCAAGACCAGAAATATCTCTGTTTAACTTACTTTAAGGATAATTAAAAAAAAATTATTACTGGAAAGACAACATAATGTTTAGGAGTAGGAATTTATTTATTTATCTGCAGTAAAGAGGAAGAGGGAAAAGAACAGCCAGATAGCTAGTGGCAGTACACACCTGGTCAACGTTCGGGAAGAAGATTGATTGAAAAGAGAACAAGATGGGCTGACGTGGCGTGTGTGGCTCTAGTTCTCAAGCATCTGTGTACTTTGGCTGTTCTGTGGTCAAAATGCTGCACGTCAGCGGAGGAGATGAAAAAAGGAATTTTTCAAATGTGTAGAATGTGCTTGAGAAACGGCTGTGTGTTTGTATTGGCGCAGCAAGTTGGTGTGCTATCAGCTCCACGGGCTCGGCCCGACTAGACCGAGTCACAGGTCATTACAGAATATTTAGTGTCCATCTGAAATGCAGTCCCCAGATGTTTGTTTATGTGTGTATGCAAAAACAGACTCAAAGAGTCCCACCGGTCTAGGCTCTGTATTTATCTTTGTTGCAAATTTAATGATGCATGTTATTCATCAATATACTTACACAAGTGCTAAATATGGCAAATTGTGAATTTTTAATTAATACAATTTTCTATTTAAACGTCACGGATAAATGTATCTTTGTATTTGTGTGCAGGGAAAGAAGCACTGTGTGTCATTCCTGTGAAAAACATCCTTGGTGTCGAGAAACTGGAAGAAAGTGCCTTTAACCGCAAAAACGTGAGTAGCTCAGTTGTATTTATGCTCTTTGTGTGTGTGTGTGTGTGTGTGTGTGTGTGGGTGTTTATCTATGTTTCTATATCTCAACATGTATAGCATGGTGCTAGCAACGCAGAGGTCATGGGTTTCATTCCCAGGGGACAAACATACAAATGAAATTGAAAATTGTGTGTTGCTTTGGATAAAAGTGTCTGCAAACTTACAGTATGTAGAACATGCAACATATAAAGTACTTTTCAAAAGTTTGTAATAATTGCGATATTTTTAAAAAAAGCTGCAGTCCGTAACATTTGGCGCTCTAGCAGTTAATAAACAGAACTGCGTATGTCTTGCGGAAGAACATTGTAGCCGGAGCTACTTCTCTCTGTTTATGTATATGATGAATCACGCAGGTACTGGGCTACTCCGCAGCGGTTCCACCTGTACCAGTCTGAACTAGTCTAAATAATCAAAGTATTCAGCAGTAATATTATGACAATTATAATGATTTCTGAAGGACATTGAAGACTGGAGTAATGATACTGAAAATGTAGCTTTGCATCACAAGAGTAAATTACATTTTAAAATATATTAAAATGGAAAACAGTACTTTTATATTGCAATATTTCACAGTTTTACATTTTTTTTTTTATGTATTTCTGATCAAATAAATTCAGCCTTGATAAAAAAAAAATTGAAAACAATAAAAAATGTAATTATTCCAAACTTTTGACTTTTAGCGTATTCTCACTATTTGTTTCGCAGATGTTTCAGGTAATCCATTCAGAGAAGCCTCTGTACGTGCAGGCGGGGAACTGCGTGGAGACCAACAGCTGGATCGAGGTACTGAGTCAGGTCAGCCGCTGTAACCCGGGACGGCTCAGCACGTTTCACCCGTCCGCTTACGTGGGTGGATCCTGGTTATGCTGTAAGGAACTCAATGAGAACACCCCTGGCTGCAAACCCTGCACTGCGTAAGATATCTTATTAATACATTCACATTTGATCGCTTTATCAAATGTGTTCACGTTGTTGTTTTTGATGTCTGATTCTGTCTTATAGGACAGTGTTGGCTAATATTCAACTGGACATCGACTGTGACAGAGAAACAGAACGAATCTTTTCCTTCTTCTCCTCCAACCGCTCCAGACTACAGAAGATGGAGGGTGTGTATAGCCTAAAAACAGAATCAAATCAAAACTGGCCCCATTTAATTTCTTAATACACATTTAGTCTGTTTGTGCATGATTCATCAGTGTATGTTTTCATAATATTTTATCAAAATGTACTTTCTCCACTACTGAAAAAATAGTTTCTTGTCTATCGATGTAATAATGACCTATGAAATAATAGCTAATGTCAAATCAGTTTAGTTGATCCAGGATATTTCCTGCTCAAAATTATTGAACATTTTTATTACTACCAATTTCACATGTTTTTACATAGCAATAAAGTTGGTTTCATTTGTCTGTGTCTACAGATGCCTGTGCCGGTATGTCAGTGTATCTTGGGCAGCAGGAGGAGTGTTCAGCCTTCACCATACAGGACCCTAAAGAGACCTTCCGTACTATTAAAGAGCTCGGAGAAGTACTGGACGATCTGCAGGCTCAACACGACTCAAAGGGAGCACTAACTGATGAACCAGGCACTATGTAAGACACCCAAAATCTGTTAAAATTGGCATGAATTAAGACATCACGTTTGCAAAGTGCAAAATGTGAATTGTAATATAGATTTTTTTTAAATCATTAATTTTATATATTATTTTTAATTATTTTATTAAAAGAATAGTTCACCCAAAACAAAAATTTGCTGAAAATGTACTCGCCCTCAGGCCATGTACAGTAGATGAGTAGATGTTTCTTCATTGGAACCGATTTGGAGAAAATTTGCATTATATCACTTGCTCACCATTGGATCCTTTGCAGTGAATGGGTGCCGTCAGAACGAGACTCCAGTCCATCGATTAATGTCTTGTGAAGGGAAAAGCTGCATGTTTGTAATAAATAAATCCATCACCATTGCTTCTGGCTAAGAGTCCTCTATCCATAGTATTGCTTTCTCCAGTGAAAAAGTCTTCTTGTCTAAATCAGGAGAGAATATGCTCCGATAAAGCACCATTTACAAGTAAAAACAGTCCAACATTTTTTGGTCCCACTTTATATTAGGAGGCATTAATATGTACTTGCATTTAAATTAGTCATCTGATACAATACACTTATTGTGTACATACATGTTTTTACATTATACTTATATTTAAAAAATACCTTCACGTAATTACATAATTACACTGTTGACTTGCATCTTAACCCACCCTTAAACCTACCCATACCACCAAACCTGTCGCTAACCTTACCCGTATCCCACCTCAATAGCAGCAGTATTGCAATATGAAAATTGTACTTAGAAGAATTTGGCCAGTCAGGAGTCCAGTGGTGTATCCGTGAGTTGCTATCATTGGGAAAAATCTAGCTCTTTTCTCTGTGTGCCTGTTCGGTCTCTGTCTTCTATCAGTTTTTAAGATCGTTTCGAAACCTCAATCGCCAGTCCACACAGTAAGAAAAGATTGCAATCACCTCTTATCCATTCCTAAACAGGCTGTGAAAGTCCAGACACCAGAGTTTGTCTGAGAAATTATAGCTGCTAAAATAGTCTTTGAAAGAACTCAACCTTCACATGTTTCTTTATTAACCGTCAGTTTTTCAGACTACTGGTCGTCTGATGTTTTGACAAGTAAAATAACCGTGTCTTAAAGGGAATCTTCGTTGTTCTTTATAGTTATAGTATCATCCCTCTCACCCATCCCTTTGAGTGTGTGGATGGTTTTCTATCTGTAGTGGATAGAATTAATCTGCCTTATACTTACAATCCCACACTTGTTTATGAATTAGGGACTAATGCAGAAGCACTTTAGATATTTGGAATATTCCAGATGAGATTGTTTTAGATACGTCGTATCAACCTTTTTTCCCGATATTGATCAGTTACATGATCAACTCTTGTGTAATGTTCTGTAGATAACGTTCATATCCTGTAGATTTTTACTAGCTATTTTTCTTACGCCAAAGATGTTGTTTTGTAGGTTTTCATGACTTGAAAATGGTATACATGTAGTTTTTTTTTTTTAAATACAGAACTTTTAAAAAAGGAAAATGGCTATCTATATTTCATGGACGTACATTTTGGGAGCGTCAAACATTTTGATAAACATGAAGAAGATTTCATTCAATCAATCTTTGTCATTTTTTTCCCCATACAAACAATGACAAATGTTTGGATATTTTATAGTATGCTATGTTCCAAAAACCTAGCGAGCTGCCTACAAAGACGGCATTTTAAGGCACCAAAATTGTGCTCACAAAACAAAGGCTGTTCAGCAAAATCAAATTATGGAAGGTCTGTCTCATTGGCAGAGATTGCATTCCCATAATGCACTGCAACAAACTCAGTGGGGGAAAAAAACAATCCTATAGGCATTTGAGAAAATGCTTTAGTTTTATGCTATACTAAAAAGCACGGATAAAATAGAAACACATTTCTCAATATTGGTATATGCCATTTTGCTTGAGTATAGAGCTGTTAGCTTAGCAACATGCTAATAGCAAAGTCTAATTGGAATCAGTTGGAATCGTATTTAATGCTATTTGTGTGACTTGCAACAGACCGTTTGGATGCTAAGGCAGCTCACTAGTGTTTTGAATGGAGCTATAAACCATTCACGGTTTTGTTTTAAATGTCCCCATTCTCAACTCTACAGAAGGGTTTTCTGTGTCTTTGCTGTAACATTGGAGACTGTTATGTTCTGCTTGGCATACTTGTGTTTTGCATATATTGTTGGTAGTCTAATCAGTGGTTCTCAACTGGAAGGTTAAAAATGTTCCACAAGTCAAAAATATTCTGCAAGGGCCATGGACTTAAATGAATATACAATGTGAAATGCAAGCAATAAAATGCACTAACCATATAATAGTGAGTAGTTGAGATTAGGGTTGCAAAAAGGTGGAAAATTTATAGTAAATTTCAGAAACGTTCCAGGATTTTTTGGAATATTCCAGGGATATTTGGAATTTTACCGGAAATTGTCCACCTCTAGTTGAGATAGCAAAATAAAAAAAGGCTTAACTTTCAAACTTAAAAATAACACCCTATGTAATGATGTTACAAATACATGAGCAATGAAGAACATTGCAATGAAGAACATTTTTCTTTCAAACCTTGGAGTATTTCACAATAGCATCACTTTTGTCATTGTGTGCCCATTGCACACTGTATGACTTTGTCCAAAAATTCCCTTCTGAAACCAATTTCTGGGATTGAAAAGGATGATTACTGTCATAGGGCAAAGTCACGAGCCTTTGATTGCCTTTAATGGCTCGCGTGTACTGAAGAACCAGTAGAGTGCTGTATTGATGTAGGCCTGGGTCCCTCAACAAAGTCCACATGGCATTTTTCTCTTGGCTTTTGAATTATTGCAGAAAATAAGCTCTTTGGCCAACAAAAGTTTACGATGCTTGCACGTTTTGTTCCTCGGGATTTTCTACATGTTGAAGCCTAAATACAATCACATGAGGTAAAAAGCCAAATGTAGTCTATAAACGCACTACACCAGTCAGTCGCATGACTACAGCGTCACCATCACTGAGCTTCTGACAACTCTTTCATTTTCCCTAAAAGTTTGAGTTAGTTTGCAAGAGCATGATTGTAAACACGAGGCTGTGAAAGCAGACGTAGATGAGTTTCCCTGTTTGACGTGATGATGTTTAATGTCCCCGACAACTTCTATAGTCCCATTTAGCCACTTGTTACCAACTGCCTTTTTCTTTTTGAGATCTTGTTTCAGGCATTTAACCAAAAACCAGTTGAAAACAACCCACTGACTTCAGGATGATGGAACGGGAAGTGCTAAAGTTCTAACTCATTGGCCTACAAAAATACATCATCACTGCAATCTATAGTAGTGATGAATTTTGAAGAAATGGTTTTCTATTAGCACGCAAACCAGCGTGAGAGATTTTCACAGAGCACTGCTCGTATAGTTTTCCGTTACATTGCAGTTCTCTTAAAAGGTTGTCTTGTCCAGAAATGGCTTTCCTCCGGTCCAGATATGGATCTACGGCTCTTTACAAGTGAGGAGAAAATGCTTTTGTTGATGACATCTGACACTTGTTAGAAGCTCAACAAATCAAGGAGATGCCACCATGGACGGTTGAGAAAAAAACCTCCCAGAGACATTATATACGGGTTGCAGTGAGGACATGTTTTGTACAAACCACAGTGTTTTGAGAATTATTGGCTGCTGAGAGCATGAAACCAATGAAATTTTGTACGATACACAATTTTGGTACCACGTTGTGTGTCCAATATAAACTCTGGGTCATGAAGCAAAACCACTTGAGAACCACTGATCTAAATAAACTAAAAACAAATCTAACCTGTTAATATGTGACAAGTGTACTTAGCATGATCATTTTACGTTCTTTTCAAAAGACACATTAGCAATATGAGAAAAGAACACGTGAAAAATGCAGGAACCTGCAAGTCTTGCTTTCTTAGACTTTGGCATATCAGAGAAAGCTAATTAAATTCTGTCACACCTCAAACGCCATTCTGAACAAACTAGCGAAAACACAAGTAAAACTACAGAACATGAGTCTACATTTCTGAATTTCAACTGAAACAAGATATATATATATATTTTTGTAATCATGACATTTTGAAAGTTGAAAGATTGTATTGAGCATTGATAAAGAGGCTTGGAACACAATTTGCCGTTTCAGCACGAACAATTATGCAACATTCACCTTCCAGTTATGGTGTCAGAATATATATATATTTGTATTAGGTCCATCAGATAGGTCTAATTTGTGTGTATTTCTCTTTTCTCACATGTGATTTGTAGATGTTTGTAGCACACTGAACTGAATGACGTCATGATATGTTGATGCATTGGTTGAATGGTACATGGATGTTCATCTGGTACTCTGCGGCTCCAGTGAGCTTCAGTAGAAATGTGGTACTGATCATCCTCACTTCATAACTGTGGTAGAGCAAAGAGCAGTGTGGGCTCGCTTAGCATTGCGGTGATACCGCAGACCTCCTGCTTTCATTAGACTTGTCGGATCGAATTTAGTGGTTTCTGTGTATTCGTGTAAAGCCCCCCTCCCCCCACCCATCTCTGATTTTCATCTTGTGTAAACGTACAGAAACCATTACGAACAGCATCCAGTGGCCTTTAAGACCCCCCAAACCCCCCGGACTAAAGGTTCTTCTTTAACATTCCCAATTTAGCACTTATCTTTGAGTCGATGGAACAATGCAGACAATGTCATTTTTCTTTTTCTCGAATGTATATCGGTACGAATCTACAATCACCATATCATAAGAACGTTTCAAACCGTGATGTACTCCTGTTATGATGTTTGTGCTAAACATAATTGGGTCTACAAGTCAACCTTGTAGTTTAAGTAATGCATTTCTTAAATTATTATATTTTTAGATCAGTAATGTAGGTCTGTAAAACTGCTATAAATATTTGCACAAATTTGACCACTTTTTTTTTTGTGTACCCATTCCCAATCCTCTTTCAACGTATTACTAATTGTACTGATTTTCTCGAATGTATATCGGTACGAATCTACAATCACCATATCATAAGAACGTTTCAAACCGTGATGTACTCCTGTTATGATGTTTGTGCTAAACATAATTGGGTCTACAAGTCAACCTTGTAGTTTAAGTAATGCATTTCTTAAATTATTATATTTTTAGATCAGTAATGTAGGTCTGTAAAACTGCTATAAATATTTGCACAAATTTGACCACTTTTTTTTTTGTGTTTTTTTTTTGTGTACCCATTCCCAATCCTCTTTCAACGTATTACTAATTGTACTGGACATGTTTGCTTCATTTTGTTATTTAAATGTTTTATACCATTATTTTCACAATACAAGCTCACATAATTCCTGTGTTATTAGTTCAGTGGAATTAATTTGCAATAAATATATTGTTTGTGTGATTCTGTTTTGTGTGTGATTATCAGTGGCTCTATACCAAAATTTCGATTTGAAGGATTTTCACGGTTCAGATCAATAGCATATTGAGCTGTTGTGGCACACTATTATTGCAATAGCTCATTTATGCTAACTTTTGAATTACTGTTATTTATTTAGGAATATGCAACAAATCTGTCCCCATGCAAAACATTTGGACACCTCAGTCATGATTAAAAAACATACATCCATATACATAAATCAGGAAACAAACAGAGACAAGGATAAGTTGCGTAAAATCAGTTGATTCGTGTTTAAAAGGAAGCACATGTATGAACTTGGCACATCTGAACAAATTGTGACGACCAAGATTGTTCCATTTCTCACAGAAATGCTGAGAAACCTGTAAAATCTGAACTCTGGCAATTATCTTTTACAATGCACGTGGTGGTTGCATGTGGATTTCACTGGACTGAATTGGAGACATGCGCAAACTCTTCCAAATTCCAGATTTCTTTAGATTTCTTGTCCGACCTTTTCCCGCAGCCTTCAATCTATGGAAATTCTGTGCCGAGTTCCCCTACGTCTCCTTACATGAACTGTGATTAATTGTGT